AACATACTTTTCTGTGTTTACTAGAGAAACCAAATATTTTTCATTGCCTCGTGTACCGTTAACGGTGCAAATCTCAAACAGCCTTGTAAGCTTTATTAAATAACATAAAAAAATTAATATATCTTAATTTAAACAATTAACTTTCGCGTACAAGTATGGATTAACATGTGCTGAAAACGGTACATCTAGCAGAAAAAATTATATTTTTAATATTTTTATATCTTAAATATAAAGCGAAATATGTTTTTTGTTTTGCGTGTGTGCTGTAGTTAATAGATCGATCTATTTATCCATTTATTTTTTACAATTGCTCTTCGATTCGATCTTTAGCTATTTATTCGGTGAAACGGTTCTCTTTTTTTTTTTTGTAGGTGAATTAATTTCATTATGGAGAATTTTTGCGTTGTCTATTTTTAAATAGATTTGTTATTTATTTCCAAATAATCCTTCCTCGTCTAAAATGTAATGTGAGCCTTAGCTTACCAGGTATCGTTAAATGAACGCAACACCCTTGTCTCGGATTTCACTTTACTTCACATTTCTATGCTCATTTCGAAGAGATTTCAATTTAATCTCTAATTTTCTTTTTGTGTGTCATTGATTGATTGATGAACATCATTAACTAACGCGCACGTTGCATATATATTTGTATGTGACATACATATCTACACGTATACAACTTCATTATGATCGTTATAATATATCGTGATTATTAATGTCAGTCAATTATTTTGTACTCATTTACAATATGAGCATAGTCTCGTTTCACATTTTTTACTCACTATGAGCACTATTGAGCATACATCTGCATAATCTTTATATAAGTGTGTGAGTGATGTGAGTAATAGTGTTTGAGTGCAGATAGTAGGTAGTCCGGCCGGTTAAAATTGATCGAAGGTGTTACTAATGAACACATATAACTTATTGTTATTTTACGGTAGCTTATGGTGACATCGCTCGCTTTGAAATTAATTCTTTCGAAGAAGATGAAACTAGAATAGACCCAGTTCGCTGCCTGTTGTATCTGA